TGCTGTAGTGTGTAATGCTGTGTATAGTGTTTACAGTTTTGACAGCTTCGAGCTGCTCTCTTGGTGTGGGAGTTTGAGTTTTGCAGTGGGAAGGTGTGGTTGTGTTTATGTAGCTTTAGAGAAGGGTGTTGTGTTTGGACATTGGGGGACCTGGTGGTAACGTTTGTGACATGCGTTTTAGCATTTGAGAAAAACTGTAAATTTAACAGAGTTAGAAGTTAGCAGGAAGTTAGCTCGCTAGTTTCCACCTAAACATGATATACCATGTTCTGACACAGAGATTTCTGAAATAAAGAAAACATACAGCTCTGCTATCACTTCCAACATAAAGGAAGACAAAAAAGCAGTACGTTTATAGGGTTACTGAAGTTTGGCTAACTGGTATATGTGCTACGTGATCGCTAGTGACACAGCTATGTTAGCATAACATAAGCAAAGTGAAGCTGGAGGATGAACTTTTTTTCCACTCGATAAAAGTTAACGTGGGGGTTCCCGATGGTTAGGGACAAATGAAATCGCATGGCAGGAAGTTGTAAACAGACTAAACTTCAGTCAGGAGAACAACTGAGATAAACCATCCACAATACGAGGTTACTCATTAATATACTGCAACAACATGGGAATAGAGCTGTGAGAGAATTCAACATTAATGAATCACTGGTACGGAAGTGGAGGAAGCAAGAAGAATGAGTTCAGTACAGTTTGACTTATGTCACTGTTTTGTTTCGCTTATAATCTGGTCCGCCTTATGGCCTGAAAAATACGGTAAATCGTTAAGTTTTGGTTTCCTGTTTGGTATTTATTCTAGTGTTCGAGTTAGCATTTTTATTCTTTTTTCTTGTGATATTATTTTTATTATCATATTGTTATTTAGTGTTTCTGTTTTTACTTGATCTGCTAGTAAGTGTCAGTTTGTGGTCTTGTCTTCAGTTTCAAGGCTCAAGTCTAGTTTTACTTCCTGCAGTGTTTCTCAGTTCCTTGCTTATTCTTATTTCTTTGCAGAGTGTTTATATTCATTTCTGTATTAATTATTTTACTTATTTACTGTTTTACTTTGAAACAAATGTCTGTTTCTGACCTGCATGAGTTTTAATTCCCGCATCTGTTTTCCCCTGATTTGAACATTGTTTTCATCTGTGTTGTTACTTTCACAGGTGTCTCGTTTCTCTCCTATTTGTCACTCCCTGATCAGTCATCGATAAATAGTCTTCTCTCCCTCTTACTCCTCATCACTTTGTTCACACTCTGTGACTGCATCTTAATAGTTCACTCCTACATCCTTTTCGTATCACTGTTCCTTGACCTTAGTGGAAAGCTTTATGTGGTAAAGGAAGCGTGTGAAGGAGAATTTAATAAAAAACTAAGGAAAAGAGAAGTGTGGAGGTCAGAGTCTTTAACCGTGTCTGCCATACCGAAACTGCAGTTTCCTAAACACAGACTACTCAATGTCCAACTTCTTCTTATGGAGCACCAGAGAAAAGGCTGAAGAGTTATTTAGGATTTCAGTGACCAAAATAAAATTTCCTCCAGTCATTGTCAACCAAAAAAAAACTAGAAGTAAAAATTAATTTAATCCTAAAGGATGGCAGCACAACAGCAGAAATAGTAATGCAAACTGAGCTACTGTAAACCTTAAATACACTTTGATCTCTTAATATAGCTCATAATATTAACTTTGAGAGTTTATAAGACCCTATGTTTTCCACATAAGGAAACACCAAGGGATGGGATTTTATTTTTTTTAAAAGTAATATAATACGTTACTTAATTCCTCCCAAGAGAAAGCAATTTGTTACACTACTTGTTAGATTACTTGTTTTTCTCTGTAAAATGGCCAGAAACACATCATCTCATAAGTACCATTTAACAATATAAACTTGGATGTTCCTGCCAACTAATTTCTTAGTCGACTAAATACAGAAAAAAAAATTAGACCAGCCAACTAGTCTAAAACTAAGAATGTCAAGGTGCTGGGTGTGTGACCCAGAGTTTTGAATTTTTGGAATGTTTAGGAGTTTTCTAGTTTGTTATTCTTATATTATAGTTTTGTATTGTTGTCATTCGGGGGTTGTTATGATGTTAAGCTTAAGTTTGTGTTCCAGGTTTTGGTTCTTAGGGTTCTCAGTGTTCATACACCTTGTTCAGGGTCAATTTCAAGCACTTTTTAAGCACTTTCAAGGTCCACATTCAAGCTTTTACACACACAAACACACACACACACACACACACACACACACACACACACACGCACGCAACAGGAATACTGCAGCAAACACCACAAAAGAAAACACAGTAAGGCCAA